AACATCATGACGAACCTCCAAGCGCCTGCGACGCCAACGGCGTCCGAGGCCAGTACCATCGGCTCGGAGCCAGACCTCGAGGGCGGCGAGGGCAGCGACGTGTCGCCGCTCTTGACGCCGCAGGCCGCGCTGCAGTCGCTTTGGGGCAATATCAAGAGCAAGAGCTCGGCGACCATGTCACCAGCGCAAATGGACGCGATGAAGAGCTATCCGCAGCGTTTCAAGACGTTCGTCATGCTCATCTTGCTGTCGGGCCTCTTCTTTGGCATGGCCTCACTCTTCCTGCCGCTTCTTCTCATCCGTCCATCCAAGTTTGCGCTGAGCTTCTCGCTTGGAAGTGTGCTTGCGCTCTCGGCGATTGCAGCGCTGCGTGGCTGGAAGAGCTACTGCCTCTCGCTCGTGCAGCCCGCCCACTTGCTACTGACGACTTTGTATTTAACCTCGCTCGTCTCGACCCTCTACGCGTGTCTTATCATGGGCAGCTACGTGTACGTGATTCTCAGCGCGTCGCTCCAGCTCATCACCCTCGGGTACTTTCTCCTCTCGGCGTTCCCTGGTGGCGTCGCGGCGCTTAACAGTACGTGCCTTCTCTCTTGGTGCACACTGCAACTGATACTCTTGTAGCTACGGGTCGCATTGTCGCCAAGAGCGCCAAGGGGATTCTTAAAGGCTGCATCAAGCTCTTTCAATGAGGCCACATATATATCAAATACACTCTTGATTCATCATTGCACAGCGACCACAACCAGGCTCGAGGCTCGTCTACGTGAAGGTACGATGGTCTTCTATAGAAGCTCGTCCAACTCGGGTGGCAAGTCATGCGGGCTGGGACCTGACTCGATACGCTCGTCCACGTCCGGTATCGCGGGTCCGTCCTCCGCTGGCTCGTCCACAGCGTCGTCCGGATCATCCGTAGTTGCGGGGTCGCCACTTTCGGGTGCTGCTGTCTCTTCGGTAGGCATTGGCTCACCGGCCGCCGGCGCGCGGGCTAAGCATGCTTGGTTGATCGCCCGCTGGCTCTTCTTCGAGAGCTTCTTCCCGCGCACTTCAAAGTCCGAGCCGCCGAACGACGAAAGCGGCTTGGCAATGAACTCGGCTTTCACAATGTTTTCCCAGCGCCCCGTGTCGGGCTTGGGCATCTTGGTCTACGTCGGGAGCGGTGGTGAGGCAACCATAAATTTATACCATTTTCGTACTTGGCTGTTGCGGCGCTTGGCCATATCGTACTCGCGCACGTCGAGCATGACCTTGAGGATGTCTTGGAGGCCTGTCTCGACGTACCGCTTGGTGATCGGCGTACTGTAGTCGCACGCGGGGCTGCTGTTGACCTCGATGAGCCATGGCTACATGGTCGTTGTGTGAGACGCGACCGAGGGCAGGGGCGTCCTCAACGACCTTGAACTGGTCGTCGATCATAAAGTCGTAGCCGTACAGCTCGCACGAGTTCTTGCGGTGGTGCACCGTGTCTTGCACGCACTGAAGCGACCACGACACGATCTGCTTCATGCGCGGCTGGATGTGGGCGAGCCAAATGCTTTGGCCCGTCGCGGCGTCGAAGCCATACCGCTTGGTCAAGTACGCTTGCAAGTCGTCCGAGTGCCACATGTTGCTACATAGCTCCTCGATCGATATATAGAAACAAGGCATTCGCAGGTAGTACCCTTCGACCGTCATCGAGCCGTCTTCGGTCGAGTACGCCTTGTAAAAGTTGTCACCGAACTTTTGAATCGAGTTGTTGGTCAAGTGCACATATTGGTCGCTCTACGCCAACCATAAGACAACCAACGTGCGCAGTCGCGTGTACGAGGTCGTCGACTTGGTACTCTTCCGAGCTGAACCGAAGGTAGCAATCCATGTAGAACCACACCGTGAGCGGGTTCCACGATGTCACAAAGACCCACTACAAAAGCGTGACGCTCCCTCGAAAGTACGTGCATTTTTCATACCTGGCGAATGTCAAATTTGCGGTTGCACACCAAAAGCGGGTTCTCAATGTACTTTTGGACCTAATGGGGTTACATATGAGTCGGAAAGTCGCACGCGCCGAGGGCTGTACGATCCATTGACACTCCTTGTGGTTCTCGACGTCGGCGTACGCAAGCAGCTCGTGGAGCTGGTTGAAGACGCGAATGCCTCGGCCCCGCGACATACCTATATTGGACTATCGCATGCGACAGGTCGGCACGACGCGTCTACCCGCAGGTTTGACAATCCACACGTTCTTGCAGTCGGCGCCGTTCAAGTGAAACTGCGGGCAAAGCGATGCGAGTTCTACGCGCTTCCGTTGAGCCGTGCCCCATGAAGAGGTATCCCGTCGTACCGTCGTAGAGGAACTGCACGGCGGCGACGGTCTCGGGCGGCAACACCTCCACTTGGCCCAAGAGCGCGTTGAGGCGCGATTTCTCCTTGACAAACGCCGCCTCTACGCGAGGCATCAGCGCCGACGGACTCGGTGCATGCGCCGCACCGAGGTATTTCTCTTGTTTCTTGGCGAGCCGAGCGTCCTCGCGCTGCTCGCTGGGGGTCATTTCGGTTGCGGGCGCGTTTGGGTCGTGCACAACAGCGGGCTTGACAAACTGGAACGACGCACGAATCGTACTTGGCGACGTCGGCGAGCAGCGCGTGAGCACCTCCCACTGCAGGTCCGTGACCACGGGCTCGATACCTACGTGTCATAGCGATAGCATCGTGTGGAGACGACGACGCGAAGATACCGCAGGCCTCTGCATTGTCCAAGACATCATCGGGAAGGATCTCGGTGCGTTTTCGGCAGACCGCAAGAAGCACGTCGAGGACACCAAGGTTCACGGGTGCTGGCGACGATTTGTAGGTGGCGTGGAGCCGCTTGAGCATGCCTTCCGCGTGGATGTAGCGGTAGTCTTGGATGTAGGCTTGCATGTCGGACGGTTCGTTGAGGTCGTAGGCGCGCGGGAAGAACGAGTCGATGTCTTCGCTGAGAAACCACGTGATGCTAATGGCATTGGTCAATGCACCACGCCAAGTCTACGTCGATCTACTTGCGGAGGTTGTGGAGCAAGCCCACTTTGGTTGTGATCGCGGTGTTTTGCATGAAGTGGTTCACGAGCTACATCCATGCTCAATGAGACGTCGACGATTCCTCAATACGGTATGATGAGCACCTGGTCTTCGTTGAGCTTGACGTTCTTGAGGTCATCGGACTTGAGCGCCCACTTGAGGTCGAAATATGGACTGTTGCGGTCCACGTTGTGGAACCACCCGCGGCCTTCGAGTGTCTCTTTGATGACAGGATACCACCCCGTGAGGCAAAACACCTAGACACTCCTTTAAGTCGCTGGCACTTATGTCGCATGAGACGACCTTGGTGTCGGGTGACACGCCGTTGCGCTTCTTCCACGACGCAAAGTCCTTGGCTTCCGGCACGAGCTGCGCTTCGGTGGGCTTGAGCTTGCTCAATCGCGACACCATCGCTACACGCCATGGTGTCGGTCGAGTGCGATTCGTCACGTCGTACCTTCGACGTTGACCTTGGGCTTCTCTTCGACCTCGGGCTCGGCGACGGCGGGTGGTGCCGCCGCAGCTTTCTCCGCGGCCGCCAACTTTGCCGCTTCGTGCCGCTGCAGCGCTTCCTCGCGCACCTTTTGCCGCTTCTTCTCGAGCAGCTCCTTCTTCTCTTCGTCGTCGAGCTGCTTTTGCTTGCGCTCTTCCGCGAGCTTGCTCAAGTATTCGACTTGTTTCTTCTTGATGGCTTCCTGCTGCTGCGCGCTAGTAGACACGTTATACATCCGTAGGATGGTAAAGTGAAGGCTCAACCGTCGCTCCTTTTCTTCGGGCGTCACGACGTCTTTGGGCTCGTCGTCCTTGTCCTTCTTGAGCCGGACCGCTGCGACGGCACTCCCGGCCGCGGCCAGCGCCACGGACGAGTTGAACTTCTCGAGCGCGTCTTGCATGCGACTCGATACCTCCTACAGCGCTATGCATAAGAAGCACGTCGTCCGATGAACTGTCGACCTGCGTGCCCAAAGCCGCCTTGCGCGCCGCCTCCTTCTTCTTGGTCGACTTTTGGCGCTCGGCCTCTTCGTCCACTTGCTCTTTCCGCTTCTTGGCTTGCAGAGCCTCCAAGACGGCCTACAGCGTACTGTATGTAGCACCTGCATCGTAGCGAGATGGTGTAGTCGTACTTGCTGCTTGAGCAAGAGCTTTTTCTGGGCGCCATTCCGCGCCTTCTTGTCCTCCGCCGTCTCTTCGCTACGCGTACAGTATACAGCATGAGCCGCGCGGATGAAAACTTCCAGAGACGTTGGTGGCGGTGGCGTCTCTTCCGGTGTTTCTTCCTTGGGCGACGGCTCGACGGCGCGCACCGCGGCGGCGCGCTGCAGAATGCTCTTGCGCAGCTTGAGCCGGAGCTTTCGCTGCCTATCGGCCTCGGCTGCCTCAGCCTCCTTCTCTTTGCGCTTCTTCTCTTCAAGCTCCTTGATGAACACTTGGTGGCGGTCGACCTTTCTCGGCCCGTTGTCGTTGTTGTTGATGATGATGTTGGCGCTAGTACTGTCGCTGGTGGGTTCGTCAACGAGCTCATCGGCTTGGTTGTCGCTGGCCGCGAGCTGCTTGGCGGCCGCGAGCGCTTCTTTGCGCCGAGGAATCTTGCTCGCAAAGCTCTTGCGCGCAGGAGAGAGAAGTCCCGCGTTCTCGACGCTCTCGGAGCGCTTGAGCGGCGACGCCATGTCTTTTTACTGAAACCCCCGCGGTTTCAGTCGACGCAAATATCGTCGCATTTGAAATTGCGTCGACGCAAATATGGTCGACGACGCATTTTTCCGCGCCACGAGCAAATGCACGCACCGGAACGTTGGGCATTGATCGAGTGCTCTCGTTCAACCGATCGACCATTGCAGGGCAGGTGGTGGAAGCTTAGTACTTTGTACCGAGGCAGAGAACAGTGTTAGCGTGGTTTTAACGGGATTTTATTGTCATTTTCCTGTCTTTTCAACGCAGCCCACGCGAAAAACACCGATTCGAGGCACCCCGAAGCGTAGAGCCGAGGTTCTTGGGCTTCGAAGTCGTCGTCCCCGATGCTGTCGCGTCGTGTCTAGCCCCTCGGCGGGAGGATGGGCAAGGGCGCCGATGAATTTTCTACCGTCGTGACGTTGGTGTATTTTAATTTCGGATGTTGATTTTGTCTTTGTATGGCCGTAGCCTCGTTTGGATGTGTAAATAGTATTTAAATAGACTGCAAAGCAACGTCATTCATTTCGAGAAGTGCGACAGCCAGCGATGCAGGCGGGAGGAGTACGATGATGATGATGATGATGATGCGATGGAGGAAGGCCTGACGGCTCATGCAACGACCTGCGTAGAAGTCCATGGAGCAGATGCAAGCGGAGCAGATGCGCAAGCAGTAGGCTCGAGTGCTTCCTGCGCGATGATGCATGATCGTCGTCTTGGTCGCGTAGGGAGAACGAAGAGATGAAGAAGCAGATCCTCACGAGCCTCATGACGCCGGCGGCCAAGGAGCGCTGTATGTACCTACGCAACCTTGAGGTCATGACGGAGCGGTCTTCTTCGTAGTGAGCCGCATTGCGATCGTGAAGCCCGAGAAGGCGCACGCGCTGGAAGACTTGATCATCCAAATGGCGCAGCGCGGTCAGCTGCCGGGCCAGATTGACGAGGCCAAGTTTATTGAGCTCTTGAACCGCACGGGCGCTGCGGAAGAGCAGCAGCGCACCAAAGTCACGGTACGCTTCTACCTCCGGCCGCAACATGGGATGTCAAGCGCCTGCTTGGTATTCTAGATGAAGAGAAGGACGTATTTCTCGGACGAAGAAGACGACGACGACGATGACTTTTAAAGCGCCAGCGTCATCCTACTGGCGAGACTACCCGACACGTTTGTAAATGTACACGGTAGACATGCCCCAGCTTTGCTGCATCTTGTGTTTCTGCACGAGCCCGAGCACGGGCGCGTGGTCGTCGTCGAGGCAGAGCTGCTTGGTCGCGGTCACAATCACGCCTCCCTTCTTGAGGTACAAGAGCGCTTGCTTGGTCACCAAGAGCATGAGACGCTCGTCAAAGCACGTGGCGTTGCAGAAGACGACGTCGGCGACCGGCCACTCGACCTGCGTCGCGTCGTCGTGGCCAATCACAAAGCGCGTCCGCTTCTTGAGCGAGTTGAGCGCCTTCTTCTCGTGCTGCCAGAGCCCATAGATCGTCTGCGCCGTCGCGGCGAGGGTTTCGAGGATCTCGAACCCAACGACCGCATCAAAGTCGTGGAGAAGCGCGGCCGCAAAAAGCGGCCGCCCCGTGCCGCAGCCTACATCGAGGAAGACGCCTCCGGGCTTGGTCAAGACGTCGTGGTTTGTCTACGCATCGATAGTATTGGAGTCTAGAATGCAATGCGACCGGGCCACCATGAGGAGCTCGAAGAGCGAGCGAAAGGGCTCGAACTCAATTTCGCCGTACGTGAGCGTCGTGGAGGGATACCCATTGGCCTCGCGCTCCGCCTGTAGAGAGCGTTCGGCTTCTGAAGACGCTAGAGGCGTACCCGAGAGATGGCCTTGGCCACGGCAATGCCATAGTCGCGGTACAGACTCGCAAAGACGGCGGCAACGTCGATATCCAGGCGCTCCTCCACGATGGGACTACCGAGGTGCTGGTTCATGTTTGCAGGGATTTCTGGATTCGATCACGAGCGTGAGCGTTACAAGGTAGTATTCGTACGAGCCTCATCGTCCCTTAGAATCGACCAGAGGTCGCTGTCGAGCGGGTACAGCATCGCATTCGGGCTGTGCGTGACGGGATTGACGACCGACCGGTGCATGGGCGAGAGCATGTAGTAGCCGTGCCGGATCGGCGAGTAAATCGGCACCGATGTCGTCGCATGCGAGCTCCGAATTTCCGTCATCTTGATCGTCGCGAGGTCTTCAATCTCGACATGCAAGCGGCGTTCGCACGCTTCGGCGCTATTCCGTCGGTTCCCGAGGTCTGGCGGTGAGCACACGAGGGGCACGACACTTGCCTCGTCCGCGGGTGGTGTCATGTGCTGCGCCATGAGATAGTCGAGCGCCGCGTCATCCAGGACGCTGTCGTCCTCGTCGTCGTCGTCATCATCGCTTTCCTCTTCCATTGTTGACGCCAAATTGAGTGGCGTCACTTGACCGGACGCAACCAAGAAGCGGCGCTCGAGCACCGCGAGCTCGCGCCGGCGCTGCGTACGCTCAGATTCGGACATGGTGTCGAGCGCGGCTGTGTCGCGAAGGTACGCTTGCTTGGACTTGGGCAAAACGCCAGCAAACTTTTCGAAATGCGCATCGGGTCGCACTGGAGCGTCTTTGCGAGGAAGACACGGAGCAAGATCCCGTCGGGCAGCGGCAGCACGCCATGATCAAACGCACGTATGAGATGGTTTGCATACTCTTCCTCTTCTTTGGTCCAGCGCCCCGATCGCTTCAGCACTTGGTTTGGTGGCCCCTGCTCACTTGACAGTTTACTCACTTTGCCCTTGACAAGACCGCGGCGTGGGTCCGAATCGCGACGTCCTTTGGCGTCGGGGCTCGGGACGCTCCCCGATCGGTGTCGCCGCTCGCCAATGATGGGTTTCTTGGGCTATGCATAGCACTCTCGTGAAGCGATAAGGACTCCTTGCGCCTACCGTGAGGCTGTTGAAATCGACGAGCAGCGCGTCACCGACAATGTTCCAGCGGGATTCTTTCAGAATCAAGTCGTTAAAGTCGGCGTTGCTCTACGGCACGTGTTTGCGTCGTCCAGAGACGTGGGATGCAAGCACCATATCGCTCGAGCGCTGCTCTTTCTCCAGCTTCTTAAAGTACTTTTGCGCATGCGTGCGAATTTGCATGAGCGTTCGCGTCGGTATCTACGTCTCGCCATGAGCCTCCAATCCCATGGTGCGGAGTACTACGTACTAAAGCAGCAACCTTCTTCCAGTCCTTTCCGTGCTGGCCGAGTCCTTGGACAAAAGCATCTTGCTCGTCCTTGGTCCATCGCCCTAAAAGCACCATAATCGTACTACTCGTCCATATAGGGATGCATGAAAAGACCCGTGGTGGTGTCGCTGCTGATACTTTCGCGCAGCGAGAGCTCGTCCGCGATGAGCTCCGTCTCCGACTTGGCACGGAAGCGGCGGCTCAAGCGCGGCTGCGGTGAAATCGGAAACGCAGAACTACCCGAAGAATAGAGATCCTGGATCACGTGGGTACTGAACTCCTCCTTGAAGACCGTCGCGAGGGCCCCGAAGCGTGTCGGAGACGTGGATGGCATGGACGATAACCACGTCGACCTATTTTCGGCGACTCCACCGTTGCAACGTCCGACGGCGTTGTGTCATGGAGGCAACGCAACCCACCAAGGACGGTTTCGTTGCGACTTCCTGCTCGTTATTAGGTTAGAAGGAGGTTATCATTGCAAGAAACGCTGCGGAATATCGCAGCGTTTTACCTACAGTAGGGACGTATTTGGCGTGGTACCGTCGTGCGTCAACGTGAAAGCGTGGTCAGGAAGAGGCGCCCCAGACTGTAGAAGAACTCGTCTGACAAGCGAGCGAATCAATTATGCATCACATGCGAACTCTTTGTAACAACGAAGATAACGCGAAACACGTTCATATATATATGCCTTGGCGCTGATCATCCAAAGAAGCCGGCGCCAAGAGACATCTCGTGCTCGCTTCTTGCATTGCACACTTCATGCATTAGACAGGTTGTCTCGATTGCTATGGGCCGTGGACCATCGCCACGCGTCAAGATCCCATGTTCACCCTGTCTTTCTACATGTACTCACCATCTACTTGTAGTAGTAGTAATAGCGTGTTAAAGCATGAATGTGTCTTCGGAGAGGATGCAAGCGGCGTCGCTACACTACTTGGCGCCAAATTGCACCACGTGGCGTTGACTTCTTGACTTTTCTATCCGGATCGCAAACCACGGGCGTTTCATCTTTGACTTGGTATTTGTATGCTTGTCCGGATAGACGGGAGGTGTCTATGTGGGCGAAACAAAGGCAATGTGGGTTTATTAAACGACCTCGCTGTTTGTATGCAATTAAAAAAGGTGGCGCGACGTCAGCAAACTGCGGCAACTTCACAAACCATATTCGAACCAATGGCTGACATCGAGCACGAAGCGCCCATCGCGGCCCCGAAGATCATCGTCCCCAAGCCCGACAAGGCGGTCTTGGATGCGGCCGTCGCGGCCCTCGAGGTCGAGAAGAAGACGAAGCTCGACCGCATGAAGGCGATCTCGCACGAGCTCGATGAGATCAAGGAAGGCCGCTCGGGCTTCTCGGAGAAGATGAAGGCCGCCAAGGTCATCTACAACGAGCTCAGCGAGAAGAAGAAGCAGCTCCACACGGAGCGCAACCAGCTCAAGATCGACTTTGAGAAGGCCAAGGGCGCCAAGGACAACTACCGCGAGTCGCAGAAGTCGCTCTCGAACCAGTTGCCGTTCAAGACGGTCAAGGAGATTGAGGACCGCATTCGCCAGCTCGAGACGGACCAGCACACCAAGTCCATGTCGCTCACGGCTGAGAAGAACCTCATCAAGGAGATTGAGAGCTTGCAGCTTGCCAAGAAGAACGTCGCCAAGTTTGCCGCGCAGCAGGGCAAGGACGCCGATTTCAACGCGTCGATGGACGACATCCGCGCCGCCATGAAGGCCAAGAGCGCCGAGATCGAGGCCGTCACGGAAGACTTCAACAAGCAGAAGGCGGTCATGGACGCGATCCGCGCCGACAGTGACGTTGGCGGCCGCGACCTCTTCCCGACGCTCCTCGAAGAGAAGAAGAGCTTGAAGGCCCGTGTCGACGAGGTCTTTTCGGAAATCCGTGCGCTCCGCGACCAGTTCAAGAAGGACAACGACTTGTACTACGAGGGTGTCCGTGCTGCGCGCGAGGCCAAGAAGGCTGCCCGTGAGGCCGAGGACGCTGCCCGCAAGGCCGAGTACGACGCCAAGGTCGCCGAGTACGAGGCCGAGATGGCCAAGATCCACCCGTACCAGGACGAGATGGACATGGCGCAGGCCCTCGTTGTCTTCCTCGAGAAGACGTTTGCGAAGGAGCTCGCGGCTGCGGTTGCTGCCAAGCCCACCACGACGACTGCCGCTGTCGAGCTCGACGGCATGAAGCCGCTCAAGCGTGACGACGAAGAGTTTTTCTCGGTGAAGAAGACGGCCAAGAAGGGTGGCGCGGGCAAGAAGGCCAAGAAGGAGACCAAGCTCGTCTTGCCGATTGCCCAGATCCAGTCGTTTGCGTCGCTCGGCCTGACCCCGCCGGCGCTCGTCTCGAACGTCGAAGAGTCGATTTCGGCCATCAAGGCCAAGAACGAGTGGTTCAAGGCCCAGACGGTGCGCGCGGATGCGCCGGCCGTTGTCGCCGCCCCTTCGTCGCCCAAGAAGAAGGCCAACAAGAAGGCCAACGGTGCGTTTGACCAGGGTGCGTTCCCGTCGCTCTCGGGCGCCGCGACGTTCGAGTCGTCGGAGAGCGCGTGGGGCCCGGGCATTGGCGCGCCGGTCGCCGTCGAGTCGGAGCAGGTCGACGACGACGAAGCCCACGCCGACGAGGAGTAAACGCTCGTCGCCATTGTTTGCAAGGATGTCGCAAACTAGTTTAGGAGCTTAGATACTATCACTTTATGTCGTCGCATTGCCCCCGTGAATTTTAACTGCAGAAAGTCATGTGGCGTTGTGGAGCCTGTTCTCGTCCTTCTCGTCCACTTGATGAAAGAGTGTGTGCAGCAGCGCCGACTTGTCGCTCTCGTTGCGCCGGAGCACCGACCAAAACTGCTCGACGAGCTTGGTCTTGAACAGCACGCGCTCGTCCACGTCGAGCTGCGCCCACCGCAGGGCGTCACTGGCCGCCGCCCAGCTGGCCTTGGCGAGGAGAAGATCGCGGCCCACGCCCACGAGCTTTTGGCGAAAATAACTGCGGTCACCGACCTCATCGTCGTCCTCTTTGAGGAGCGAATGCGGGTGCTCGAAACACCCGAGCATGCGAAGGTACCAGCCGGGCGACGATGCCGCCTGCGCCGTGTACACGCCGGGGTACAGCGTCCGCACTTGGTGCTCGAGCCGGTCGTGCCACTCGCTGAGCTCGTCGACGCGGTACGTTGCGTCCATGGCCGCACGCGTCGCGCGAACGAGCGTTTGCGTCGCTTTCTCGAGCGCCTTCTGGAGCTGCTCAATCTTGCGCCGAAAGACCGCGATATCGTTGGCGACGATGGTCTCGTAGCTCGCGACTTGGCGCCGAATCGGCTCCAACACCGACGGCGGGTCCTCGGGGCGCCCGTCGAGCTCGGGGTAAAAGATGTCGGCGTCGAGCGTCGAGCCATGCGCACGCGTCAGGCGGTGGTGCAGAAACGACCTCTTGCGCTGGGTCTCAATCTCACCGAGGCCGCGACGCGTCACTTTGTAGCGCATCGCGCGCAGGAGAAGCGACCGGCCGTGGAGCGCCATGACTCTGGCTTTCGGGTGCCGCACGAAATAGGAGCTCGCGCCTTCCATGTCCTATGCAGTCTCGTGGGACATGGTGGAATTGAATAGGTGGGTGTACGAGTGCCAAGAGGTCGACTTGCATTTCCGCCAACGCGACAAGCGCAATGCGGAAGAGCAGTTTGGCGCCGTCGACAAGGAAGCGCGTCCAGACGCAGGCGAACGCGTCGAGCGAGAGCAGGCGCGCAAAGAGCGTGGCAAACCACTAGCATCATCGATCGCAGGGTTGGATGCGAATTCGATGCTGCCCATATACGTATTACCTGCGTTGCAAAGTACCCTGCGTGCATGCCAATCGTGCGCAAGTGCGAAGAGAGCTGTGGGAGATGACGCTCCATGAGCGTCTGTAGCGCGTAGATGTGGCGGCGCAGCCTACTCGATACCGTCGTCAAATACAGCAACGATCGACTTGGGTACCCAGGCATGGACGGAGCCCAAAGCGAATGCAAATCGTGCTGCTGGATGGCCCCAGCGACGGTCCAAAACACAATGGCTTCGTCGTCGCGCGTTAGGTTGCTGTCCGTGATGACAGTAGGGTCGTTGAGCACGACGAGCAGGAGCTTCGCCACGACGTAGTTCATGCCTTGGCAGTACCCGATCGATGGAAAGCGGAGCGCAAGCGCCTTCAGAATGTTGGCCAAGTGCACGTGTCCTGGGCGGGCTGCGTCCGAGATGGTCTCAAAGTATGGCTCCTGGGGAAACGTCCGTGGAATGTCCCGTCGGATCTCGCCGTCTTGACCCGTGTGCGCCAGCGTCAAGAGAACATTCGCATGGCCTTGCAGCAGCTCGTTCGCGTAGACATGTTTGTCCTGCGGCAAAAGCGCACGCTGACGCAGTGCGTGGTACAGCCACCACGAGGTACGAAGCGACCGGTCGATGCCACCTAGTAGCTACTCTCCAGCTCATCGTTCGTTGGGTGCGAGGACCATCTACCTTGGAGTCGATGGTATTGCCGCGGGCTGGCCAAAAGGACGCTGTATAGCGTGTCGTCTGGCGACACCCATCCATGCTCCAAGAGCAGCATGAGCACGCGGGGCAGCCGCTTCGAGGCGGTCTGCCGCTCGGATGGCGGCCGCGCCGGGCGAGGCTCTGTGCTTGGTAGACTCTTGGGTCGATAGGTCGTTGCGTCGTCTGCTGGTCGTCGATGGCGTGGCGATCGCGGGGTCTCGGCGACCTCCAAGGCTCGCATGCTCTGTCCGAGCGAGGATCGGAATCGCAACTGAAAAAGACACGACCGCTTCGAAAAAGAACGGCCGTGGTATGTAAAAGAATGATTAAAAGAACCGGATGCTTCCGTATACCACAGACTTCAGCATACATTGAACAGCATCATGCGACTGGAGGTCAAGCTGCAGGGCGACCGCGTCCGCCTCGTCCCGTACTCGGCATGGCACGTGGCCAAGTACCATGAGTGGATGAAGGACCCATGGCTCCTCGAGATGACCGCGTCCGAGCCGCTGTCGCTGCCGGAAGAGCAAGAGATGCAGGTGACGTGGCGCGAGGACCCGACGAAGGCAACGTTCATCGTCCACGCCCATGGCCATGACGACGCCCGCGACGAAGACGAAGCCTCGATGGCAGGCGACGTCAACCTCTTCTTCAATGACGATGAAGATCCGGCCAACTGCGAGATCGACATCATGATCGCCGAAGCCTCCAAGCGCGGGCTCGGTCTCGGAAAGGAAGCCGTGCTCTTGATGATGGCATATGCAGTCGACAAGATGGGCGTCCATCGGTTCTACTCCAAGATCAACGAGACGAACGAAGCGTCCTTGGGCCTCTTCCGCAAGTACGTATACAACCCATGGCGACGCATTGAATTACGATGGACCATGTAGGCTCGGCTACAAGGAGTGCAACTACGTCAAGGCCTTTCAAGAGTTTGAGTTTGAGTTTCACGTGCAAGAAGAGCAGCGCGCGATGCTAGCAGAGATCCTACGTCGTACGAGTTTGCTGCCAATGGCCCAAAAGGACTACTAATGCATTCTCGTCTCGTTGAGAGCAAGCGGCTGACGATGTGATGATTGCCGATTTCTGGGCGAAATTTTTATACGTGGCACATCGATGCCGAATTGTGAAACCGGATGCCGATTTCAATACCGTTGTAACCGGATGAAACGAGCGCAAGCAGTCGCATTGCAACGGTCGGTGCGATGGCCAAGAAGGACGAGGTAGACGATCCATGCTCCTCGAGCGCTCATGAGCATGCGCAGGAGAAGGGCGACGTCGACGTCGATGAGGAGGCCAAGGACGAGCTGGCCAGAGCCGAAGCGATCGACGACGACGACGACGACGATGAGAGCGAGACGATGGAGGAAGACACGGTACCTCCACAACATCTTCCTTCTCCCGTCGAGACATGGCATTAGGGTCTCACGGAGAACCAGAACCGTCTCTTGTACTTGATCTCTCTCTACAGCAAGCCGGCCGTTCTCGCTACGGACAAGGAAGAGTGGATCCGCAAGCCCGCGCTCCTCGTGCTTTTGTACGAAGCCATTGTCTCCAAGGCGCTCGACTACGATTACGCGCCCGCCTCCGAGCTCGTCGAGAGCAAGCGCAAATACTTCAACATCTCCCAAGAAGGTCCATCGAGCCATCCTTTATGTGCATACCATATATCAAGCCATAATCATCCCATGTAGGCAAGTCGGACATTGATTTTCTCCGTGAAGAAGAGCTCTTGAACGGTCTCAAGCTCTCGTCCAAGACGTACCAGCCTGTGACGTGCTATCAAATCTCAGAAAAGGGCCTTGAGCTCATCGCCAAGCTCGGCCGCGCGGACAAGGCGCCCGTCCATGAGATGGCGTATGCCCCCGGCACGCGCAACCTCCTGCGCGTCGAGTGGGACGGGGAAGAGTACTGGCTCAACGACGACGTCAGCGGGTACCGGCGCGTGTCGTCGGTGACGGAAACTGAGGACGTCTCGTACGTCTCATCGGCGTACGTGCCGCAGTGCCTGCGCCGCGGTGGCCGCCCCACGCTCAGTAACGCCCATCGCGCGCACGAGTGTGGCTTGAGCGACTCGAGCATTCGCGACCAGCTGGACGAGATCATAACGCTCAACTCGGTCTCGCTCATTGTCGCCGAATTTATCCCGTTTGGCGCCAACCAAGTCGTGCAACTCAACTGCAACCTCGGTTCAACCGAGCGTGTCCAGGTACAAGCGATGCTACGTACGACTAGATTGCACGATGTGCGTAGGGGGGATTCTTTACGGCCGTCGTCGACACCGAGTCGACGGGCACTCAAATCAGCGTCGATCCGGGCTTGACGTCGGTCAACGTGCTTGATTACTCGCTCACAAACCACGTCAACTTTGAAGCTGACATTCATTTTCCCGAGCCACCAGGCATTGTTCAAGTCGAGACGTTTGGGTGCTCGCTCACAGCATCTGGCTCGTGCTTTTACGGCATGCAGGTATCTATGTATCTTGTATTTGAAGACTACTTATGCGGCTTGGCACTAGGTCGAAGCCATCATGGATCGCATTAAAGACAACATCTCGCTGGACCATCTCTCGCGCTTGCTCGTCGACGTCCAGCAAGATTCGTCCAAGATCGTCGACTCGGTTCTTTCGGCGTACCAACGCAGCCTCCTCGAGCTCATTTTTATGAACGAAGCCGCCCACCGCGACAAGATCAACCTCATTATCGCCAACGAGATCACGCCCCACTTGACGGCGGAAGAGTACATGGACAAGGGCGAGTACGAAAACGAGCTCAAGCAGGTCGATGATACCTCCGGAATTCCAGTCCCCTGTTGACGCTCGGGAGTAGGTGATTGGGGACACACGCGCGGCCTATGATATTAGCGAACACGACACACTCATCTTTGGTGCGTACGGCCTCCTCATTGCAGGTCCCAACTCGCGTCACCACGAGCCGCTTCTCTGCTCCTTCCTCGAGTACGAGAGCATGAACCTCTTTACGCAAAACTTTTTCGCGCGCATGTTTATCGTCGTCGACGACATGAAGACGGTCCGCGACATGCTCGAAGTCGCGGACCGCGACCCGAATCGGCTCACCGAGATTCGCACCCGTCTCGCGGTGCTCTCCAAACAAGTAATTTTGCTCGAAGAGACACTGGGCTTTTTGCGCGAGTCGCTTGATGAAGCCGAGATTCCGTCCGAGCCACCAGAGCAAGCCGGCCGGAGCTTGTACGAGCGCCTCCAACTGGGTAGCCTCTCAGCCCAGCTCAAGCGCCGCGTTAAGGATCTCGAGAAAAACATGCTCGGCGCGCGCCATGAGCTCGACGTGCTCAACGAAATGAGCGCCATTTGCAGCGAAGAAAAGATCTTCAAGCAGCACGAAGCGATCCGATATCACATGCGGTCGCTTTGTGAGCTCCAAACCATCAACGAGCGGTCCGCAACGACGCTGCAGCTTATCCAAGTGATTCTCTCGGGCACGCTAGCGTTCGACATTTTAGATCGACTCACGGGCGACTGGTCGCTCCAAGGCCAAGCGTGGGCGCTCTCGTACCTCAATCCGCTCGTGTTTGAATCGCCCGGCCTCTGGTACATGGACATTTTTACCGTGGCAACGGCATGGATTTATACATAATTGGCTTAGGTTTGTGTTCAGCCTTCTCTTTTGGGCGAGCGTCGCCGGCCTCTTGCTTTATGCGCTCAAGGCGTTCACGTACCGGTCCCAAGGCGTCGTCTCAATCCGCATGACACGCCAAGTGCCCATCGACATGAAGAACCTTGCGACGTTTCTTCGCACCAAAAACATTTCGGTGCGCTCGCTGCATGTGTCCATCTCGTATGATGCTTATCTATCGCATTAGGACGAGTCGCACAACTACGATGGCAACATTCGCATCGCCAAGGTCGTGTGGAATGAAAAGTTCAAGAAGGAGTGGGGTGGAGCCGTGCCGACGGTGCAGGTACGCGCGATGATGGCCACAACAACGAAAATCCATACCGTATGCTAGCTCGAGTACGATGAGCAGAATGCGTTCATGCTCCAAATCTCAATATCGTACCGCCGCCGACAAGCCAACAAGCAGCTGGCATTCAATGCCGACGAGCTCTACACGCGGCTCATGCAGGTAGCGCTTGCTTGATTACCACCGATCGATGCATATGGCGGTGTAGGAACTCGATACGGCCAAGATCTTTGTGCATCTCGAGAGCGAGGCAGCTGTGCCGTCCGCGAAAACAGCAGCGTAGATAGCCTCCATGGACTCTATTTATCGTGCTTGTAATGACGCTACCCGAGCCCGCAACGCGTGGGCCGTCGCCGCACTGTAGTCTTGGCACTTCTCTACCTGCGGCTACGCATCCCTCGTTCTTAGCGCATGATAAGGCTAGCGCATGTCGTACCATGCTTCCGGGCCGAAACCGGACACTCATGATGCCTTCGAGCGATTGCAGCCGCAGCTGCATGTTTTGGACCCACGCAGCGCCCTTGGGCAAGTCGACGGTCATCGCGTGCTTGAACTCGGCGCACGACACACCCATGAGCTGTTCCACAAACTACACAAAGGTCCCTATCGCGCTGTCGAGACACTGTCAAGGTACCGCGGGCGCGACAGCCACGAGGAGCGTGCGCGTGCCGTCTTCAATGTAGACCTTGAGGTCGTACCCGCTTGCGTAAGCAAAGGCCGCCACCGACTTGACAAACGCTTTCAGATGAAACGTGAAATGGAACGTGATGGGCGACGTCGCCGCCGCGATCTGCGCTTCAATGCCCGAGAGATACGCGAACGGAAGGTACGGGTCGGACCGCGCCGGAGGCAAGGCGACGACGGGTGGTGCGAGGACGCGAGGTCCGGCAGCAGCGCGTTGGCGTGGCGGCATGCTGGTCGACGGACCGTAAAAGAGATGTCGAATCGCCGGGTCCGTCGTGCGCTCTTCGTCCGAGAGGTCGAGGTCAATTGGCTCTGGCGACGGCGGTCGGACCGGCGGCACGACGTGCGTCGCTGATGTCGTCGGAGCTCGGATGGGTAGTGGCACAGGGGTATACGGAGGTTGCGCTGGGGCAGAAGAAGCATTCGTTCTCAGAGGTTCACATGGCGTCGCAACGGGCGGGCGAGGGTGGTTCGATGGCGATACGGCGGGGACCAGCGCACCTGCGTTGGACGGATCAGCAGCTTGAATGGGCTGTTCTCTAGTTGCAAGGTGTGAGACAAAGGGACCGAGCGGCACGTGGTACGCACAGCGTCGGGTTGAAGCTTTGTCCGAGGACGTCAATCGACCGCAGCATGAGCAGACCATGACGCACGTCTGCGTTCTGGACGATCACCTATGCGCAAGCGATTGCATCTACTTGATCCTGTCATCGTTCATGTACCTTGGTGCCGGAGGGAGTTTTCGTGCTCAAGCTCCGCAGCGGCGCATGTCTACCATGCACGGTACAGTCGCACGTTGCATCCGAGGCGTCATTCGTACTCGATGCCATAGATCACTTGGGCACCATCGGTCAAGCACATTTTGAGAAGCCGATTGGGCGTGTCTTCGTGGCGCTGCTCCTGGCCAGCGCCAACGTTGGCCACGTCGACGACCTGTCCTTTCGCATGAGTCGACATCGTCCGTAGCGTTCTACCTGCAAGAAGAAGCGACCGACGAGCGAGACGCCGTCGAGGGCGCAGACGTTCGGAGGCAGGCACGGCTCGCACGAGAGGCGCACATCGGCATAGAGGAACTGGTCGACGACAAACTCGTCCTGCTCCGCAGCCGAGAGGCGTCTACGCAAGCGCTGGGAGCATGGAGCATGTGCATCCTCTCTACCTGCCGCACTGCGCCATGTACGAAGAGAGGAGGCCCTCGCACTCGGCGGCCCACGCGGGTCGGACGCGCGCGATCTGCCGGCAAGCGTCCATCGGCTCCAGGTCGGCCCAAAGCAAACAATACCGCGTCTGATTGGTCAAAATAGAGAGGGCCAGTAGATTGCCAAATTCGCGCCGAGGTCCTCTCGAGATATCGGGTACCCATCTCGACGGTGCGCTGCGTTAAGGAGCCAGGTGCCCACCCTTGCGTGCATGTAAAGCACTCGACGTCCTAGAGGCTGCAGTCGGCGGACGCCAACAAGGAACCAGCAATAATGTGATTTTCAAATGATTCCACCAATCACAAGGCTTTATTCTCTATATTTCAGCCAATGATCAGCCGCAAAGCTTTGAATCTTGGAGCGGCTCGGATATTTCGCGGCAGAATGGGCTTGGTCGCCACCTCACCGGAAGCTTCTTCCTTCGGTCGTAGAAGACGTGCATCAAGCATGGTGATGGAATCTTCGATCGATAGCTCTAGTTGTCTGCCCGCGTGTGCATTCGTAGACGACGACCCGGTGTATTCAACAAGGTATTAAACGCGTGTTGTTGTCTCGTATGTCGCCACGGGCTGCGCAAATGGCGTGCGCTCGTCGTCCGTAAAGAGCATATCTGCGGCAAACTAGGCATGTGCTATGAAGACCACGTCTCTGGCGCTTCGTACCTCGGGGCGCTGGTAGAGCACGAGCACTTGTGGCAGCTCGATCAAGTGCAGCTTAGCAAGTCGATACAAAACACACACCGACGCGACGGCGAGCACATAGAGAAGTAGCACTTGCGTGTACGCGTCTTCATCGCAAATAGCCAAGAGAATCTGCATCGCCAATGAGCCGTGACCAGGATCGTCAACGTACGGCAAAGGTGCCATAAGCCGTGGCGAAGAGGAGCGAAAGCACGACGCCTCGGAGGAGGTAGTACTGCCGCATTTGCGCTTCCGTGGTCGCGCCGCGCGGAAAGCGGCCGAGATGGCGGTCGATCTTGCGGTGGTAGTAGCCCAAGATCTTGAGTCGGTACGTCGCCATGGACAGTTCAATCTACTCGGGATGGGCTAAATTGTGTGGCAGCCCCTGGGCGCACCTCGTGCCAATAGCTCCAGCGCATGCGCAGGCCCTCGGGCCACTCGTGCGTATATCGGTACTACACATCGCGTATGAGGCAGCGGCTGGTCGATGCTGGTACGTACAATGGCCCGCGCCACGACGAAGAGCACCATGAGCACCGTAAAGTAGAAGAGCGGCTCCTGTAAGAAGTAGTCGCACGTGAGCGCCCCCAGCACCGTCGCTGCGAAAATGAGGAGCGCCCACGTGAAGACGATGAGAAGGCGGAGGCACTCGTGGCGTAGGATCATGTCGTCGTCCACGAAGGGCGGGAAGCGCCGGATGATGTAGCGCTGGTGCTTCTGGTGGGTGCTGCTCATGCTGCTGATACCTCGACTTCCTGCCCGTCGGCTCGGATAAAGGATGCGCCCGACTTCAACGCCCGGTTTGGCGAGAGACCTCTTGTATCGTATATAATATCGAGTTTCAGGAGTTTGGAAATGAGGCACATGCCGAATCCTAAAGAGGCGATGGCCCGCGCCAGTAATCGTCCATCTTGTGTGCCTGGCTAAGCCGTCGGGCACTAGAGGCTGGCAAAACACAATACTGTCTTAGCTATTCCAGCACGCAATTTCGATAGATGCAAGTGCCAACGGTGTCGTCGGAGGTGTTATTCGATTCGGCACATGCCATGTTTAGAAATTTTGCCAAAGGCAATATCAAGTACGAGAGGTGCAATCGCAGCCGCCACGATGAGCGCACCGCCGCCACCGCCGATGACGCCCGAGGACGTGGGCACGCTGCTCAACCCACAGCAGCGCAACGCTGTCCAGGACCGTGTCAACGCACTGCTCGGCTGGAACTCGAAGGAGATCGCGCCCATGGCCATCGCGATCCCAATGCTCCGCTCGACGCGCAAGCAGATCATGGAGCTCGGCTACTTGGTCGGGTCGCAATGGACCGGCATCCGGTATCGCCGCCATGCTGACAACATGCCACGGTTCACGCGCGCTTCCTTAGGTACCTCGCGCTCTTGGTTGCGGGGCGTTGCTACCTCATTTCGCACAACTACGAGATTCGGGAAGCCTGGCTCTTTGCGCCACTTCGCCAGCAAGATCGCCCGGCCGCCGCCGAGAACGAGACCAACCAGCACATGTGGACGGTGCTGGATGGGACGCTTGTGATGCACCAAGTACGCGCATACTCGCATCTCGCTCGCCATCTCAGATTGCCGTAGGACAAGCTGACCTATGTGATCACGGACATTCTGGCCATGAACGGGACCGCAGTCATGACGCACAAGCTCGAGGAGCGTCTCAAGGTACGTGCCCGGCCAATGCTTGAGCGTCCTATCGTCTGGGATGCGTAGACGATCCAGAATTCGGTCATTGGGCCCTTGACCAAGATCCCGATCCCAAAGGGCCATCCTCCGTCGCAGTTTGGCCTTCTCTTCCCACCCAACCGGCCGCTCATCAAAATGACGAGCTCGATCCGGCACTTGACGCCAACGCCAACCAACACGGCCGTGCAGCACGCCGGGCTTATCTTCCTTCCGCAAGCGCTACCGTACACGCCCGGGTACGGCAAAGGACTCTTCTCCTGGACGTATCCCGTGCTCGTGACGGCCTACTTTCAGCTCGGGGTCGAGTGGCGGGGCATGTAAGCGCGTCAAGTCGTCTCGTATGCTTAAGATCTCACGTGGGCTTTAGGCCCAAGAAACCCGTCTTCAAGCTCAACGTATGGGACAAGGGCATGTCTGTGTTTTACGACTGGATTACGTTTCCAGCAGGTAGCTCCTTCCGATTTCCGTAGCCAGACGCGGGAACAATGTTTGGTAGACTGCTACGAGCACTTTTGCAACGACAAGAAGGCGTCCCAGCGCATCCTCGAATGCATGTACGACAGCGAGAACTGGACGTTCATCCCATCCGAAGACAAGAGCAGCGATACGGGCCACGCAGGCTTCCAGTCGGTGGAGCGGGGCGTCGGCTGGCGCAAAGGTGGCATGCTCCTCGAGGATGCGCCATGTTGAAGCTGGTGTAGGCGGATGGAAGCTCCTTCGCGTGCGCAAGGACGTGGGTCGGCCATACGACCGCGCGCACTTGACCCAGCTCGAGAAATGTCTGAGCGACAACATTCGCGGCGAAGAGATCGAAGCGTTCTTCACGGCCAACGCCGCCAACCCGCTCGCATCGCCCGACGACGACAAGTGGAAGAAGACACGTACGCTCGCTGCGTCTGGCGATCTGTCTCCACCGTGCCTCCGTAGTCGCGCCGAGCCAAGGCGTCTGCTACGACTTCCAGAACAAGGGCATTTGCCAGCGTGGCACCAAGTGCCACTTTTCGCACTGCGCGTGCCACAACGTGTGCTCGTGCACGGCGGCTTCGCACACGTACGGTACGCCTATATGTCGCAACGAAGTCGAGCTAGAGTCGACGCTAGGCCAGCGCCCGGACTTTCGGCGCAACGACTTTGACGCACCGCCCGAGACCAACGCGGACGGCAGCGTCAAGCTGGAAGAGACGCCGATCGCACTCGAGAGTCTGCCAGCGCGTACAATGCAATGTATGCCGCTTCCGGTTCTCATCGAGTCGATTGTAGTCGGCGAACCAAACGAAGGAAGCGGCGAGGTCGCGTTGGCGGTACCGGCGGTGCCGGCCAGTCCCGCTGCTGCACCCGTCGTCGCGGCCGTGGCGCCGGTGCCGGTCCCTGAGAAGAAGCCTGTACTCGCACCTCCGCTCGTGCGCGGCAAGGTCAACGCATCGAGCGTCTATGCGCCGCTGGCCAATTTTGAGAAGGAAACGCTGGCGGCCAAGCGAGCGATGCTCAGCGCGACGGGCAACCGCCGCATTTGGTCGAGCCTCGGCCTTGAAGACTCGACGGGCAAGAAGGCGACCAAGAAGAAGCAAAAGGTGGGCTGGATCGTCTCGAGCGCCGGCGATGTCTCGTACGTGCGAGACAAGTAAGGACGATAAGACGACGCATGGAACAGTGCTGTGGTTGTATATTGAAGAGGATGCGGACCCACCGCGCTCTAGCCGCTCCGGAACGAGCGCGACCACTGCTCCCGCACCGTCATGAAGGCCTGGCCGATCGTGAGCTCTGTGAGGGGCACCTCGTTGTCGATACCCTACGCAAAGCAATATGGACGTCTGTTGTTGTATACGATGCGTCGAGGCAGAACGTACGCGCATGAGCACGCGGTTCGTGATGGATTGTGTGTCGGTCTCAAAGATCACGCCGCCGTCGAGGACTTCGTCGAACGTCAAGAGCACAAGCTCGAGGTTGTCGAGCACCGAGTGCCGATCCATGTGGCCCTTGAGCATGTTGCTCACGGCCTCAAAGGCGCCGTCCAGCACATGCAGCAAAATGAGTTCGTTCTACATGCCATCAGCGTCCGTCACGATGGATACGATCATTACCTCTTGGGCGCCGCCGACGACAAACATCGTGCTTTCGTTCTGGCTGCGAAACACGGCGACGATGTTGTCGATGAGGATGATCTCGGCCTCCATGCGCGCGTTCATGTTCTTGGTCTTGGCCCAGATCTTCTTCTCGAGCGCGGTCTGGTCCTTCAACGTCGGGTACCCCGCGCGGTCGTAGTACTTGGCACAGAGGCGGTTGCCCTCGGCGTCGAGGACGAAGATGGCCTTCACGCTAGGGCTCGACTACATGCAGGAGCATGAGGCCATGCGCGGTCTCCTGCTGCCACGTACCATCCGCGGTGTGTGGCGGCGAGGCAAAGGGCTGAACTGACGTGGCTACGCTCGTTTATTGCAGCGTCCATGCACTTGGAATTTGACTCCATTTTTAAAATACGATCCTCCCGAATAAGTTGCGACTGGCCGCCTAAGTTGTCGCCCAATGGCGCACTGCCACCTCAGGCGCTTATTTTCGGCACGCATATTCGAACAGCGCGCGCCAATGGCATTGCTCCACGGCATCCATTTGCACCAATCCGTGATCGCCTGGCCACCATGGCCGATTACACCGAGGTAGACCGCATGCACGCATGTCGAGCTCATACGCGCGAGCCGTAGCACTACCTGACGACGGGCGCGCTACCGCAGAGCATGGTGCTTTCGACGCCAAGCGCCCATGTGGCTCCGCAGCGGCGGGAACTCCTCGCACGCAAGGCCGCGCAGCTCGAGGCGCATGCGACAGCGCCGCAGCGCGTCCACTTTGCGCCAGACATGCAGTTGACGGAGCTTGGCATGCAATTCGATGTCATCGTCGTGGACCCGCCATGGGCCGAGGTCGCCACGAGTGGCGAGGCAATATGGACAGCGCAGGACCTGGCGCGGCTCGACGTAAATGGCATTGGCGCATATCCGTACGTTCTGCAGGGTCGTGCACTCGGCGATGGTTGCATAGCGGCGTGCTCTTCCTGTGGTGCGGATCGGGTGGCACGTACGATGGCGTCCACTCGCACTTTGACGAAGCGTGCGACTTGGTGGCCACTTGGTACGGTAGCACCATGTGATGCGATGCTGATGCCGATGCAGGAACTATCGCGTCTGCGAAATCCTTAGTACACTGCTTCCCATGGGCGTGGTCCTCATATAATAGTATGCTGCACACCTAGGTGGGCCAAAGTACAGGACGTCAATGAGCGCTCGGGCCACGGCCTCGTGCGTCGATCCAAAGAGTTGTGTCTCCTTGCGCTCCGCGATCACGTCTGGCGCGACACGTCCGGGCACTTTGTGCACGCCAACGTCGACGCGGACGTCGTCATCGCCCCAACGACGGCGGGGCGTGCGAAGCCTGCCGCGTTTTACGAGGTATGGACGCTTCTGTTTGCAGTGGCGAATCCATGGTCTGTCGTGGAGGTCGTCGAGCGCTTCTGCCTCGGGCGCCGTCGCCTTGACGTATTTGGCTCCACAGCGCGGAACGGCTGGGTCACCCTCGATCGCTTCGCGGACGCTTCCTGCGTCTTTGATGCGCAATCGTACGAAGCCGAGTTGGTCCGGACAGCGGCCAACCCCGTAAGGTCTGCTCCTCGCCGCCTCTTTTCACCGAGACCGATTAGGAGACCCCTTTTGCGCTCGGCGTGGACAACGGTTTCTGCACTTCCGACGCACCATTTGCTCTTGACGCTGCGTAGATATCGAGATGCTCCGGCCCAAGGCGCCGCAGCGGCTCACCAAAGGCACCAAGACGGCGACGAAGAAGAAGTCGTAGCGTAAATCTAGTTCTCTGCAACGCAAGCATCGAAGCTGTAACCTGGATAAATATAGCCAACGCTCGCTTTGTAGCCGCCGTCGAGCACTCGTCAAGCACGCATGGCAAGAAGAACACACACCACGTGGCATCCTCTTCTCTTGGTGCTGGTCCTAGGCGTCGCCGCGCACGCCGGTGATAGCTGCTCGCTGGCGTGTCCCGTCGCGCCGCTGCCCTCCTCCTCCTCACCTTTGTCGTCGTCCAATGCGGCGCGGCTGCTCAACGCCTCGGCCTTCTACGCCCCGTCGGCCGTCCACACCATGTGGTCGACGGCCGCCTTTGTCGGCAACGCAACGTTACGCTACCTCAACGCCACGCGGGGCGCGGGCGACACGTGGTACGCCAACTCGCTCGCGAACTTTCTTGTGTTTCTCTGCGTCGAGATGGCGGACGTGGATCGGTGCGTCGCATCGACGAGCGCGTACGCGGCAAAGAACGCATCGTCCGGCGCCTGCCTCCGGCTGGCCGACGCCGGCAACTGCTTTGATAGAAACCTCTGCGAGCGGCGCGAGAGCTGCAAGTGGCCGCTGCTCACCGAGGCCATCGCGGTGCGGGTGCCGCTGTTTACCGACGAGGACGCGGCCGTCGCGACCCAATGGGTCCGAACGAGCTACCCCAAGACGCTATTTCTCTACACCGTGCCCGGCCTTTTGGTCGCGGCCGTCCTCGTCCTCGCGACATGGATCTTTTGCGTCATGCGCTTTAGCTGCAACCGCTGCTGGGGATATACGCCGAGCCGTCGCGGCTACACGTGGCTCGAGCGCTGGGGGCCCATCGTGATCTTTCTTTGGACCACGTGCTTTCTCATTGCGTGCGCGGCCATTGTGCTCGCCCAAGGCGTCGCATTCCAAGACGCCGTGCGCTCGATCGCTGGCAGCACGAACGCCACCATGACGCAGCTCGCCGCGGTTCCGACCGATGCTATCGTGCCACTCGAGACGCTGCAAAAAACGCTTTCAAACGTGTCGATGAGCGACGTGAGGATGGCGCTCGCCCCCGCGACACCCCCCGGCAACTGGACGAGCGTCGTGTCGAGCATGGAGGTCTTCACAAGCACGTACGAAGCGGTGGGCGATTACCCCCTCTACGCGTGCTCGCGGTCCGCCGGCGCGACCTTGGCGCCGACAACGACCTCGTGCACCGCATGCCCCGAAGTGGTGTGCGGTGCTATCAACGGCACGCTCCAGCGCATCCTCGACGACACGGCGCCGCTCGCATGGACGCCGCCGCTCGCGACACTTCTCGAGCCAACTGTCAACGCATCGCCGTCATCCTTGGATCTCGAGCGCTTGATGGTGCCATTGGACTCGATCCAAAGTCTTGCGGCAGCGTACTATACCTCGACGTATCCACACCTTCTTTGGGGTTTTGGCGCCCTCGAGTCCCTTAGCCTTGGCGCGCTGCAGGCCGCGCTCGGACTTGGGCTTGTCTCGAGCGCACTTGGTCTACTTGGTATTTTCGCCGGCCTTGCGTCGAACTCGTCGCGTCTCGTGCATCTGCTGCATGGCAGTTGGATGCTTGGCGTCGTCTTCTCGTTCCTCGGCCTGGTGCTCGGCACCTACTGCCTCGTGCTCGCGGTGCTTGGTCTCGACCTCTGCACGTACGTTTCGCTGGTGAAGTCGCATCCTGACCGGTACCTCCCGTCGGCCGGCGCGACGATCGCGACGCAGTGTCTCGGGGAGCTCACGCACGAGACGGCATTTCCAGAGCTGCGTCCACTGGCCCAGTGGACGTGCGAAGGCCACGCGATCCTCGACACCTTTGCACACACCAACTTGAGCCAGCCGCTCGCCGCCGCTGAGGCGTACAGTACACGGCTGCAATCGTTCAGCCCGAGTACGTTTGGGTACGCGACGTCGGAGCTCCTGCGGCGGATCGCAGCGCTCGCCGTGGCGACGACCAAGGCGACATGGACGCCGACGAGGCTCCTCACGCCATGGCAAGTCTACGGCAGCGCGTTCGACCCGACGCCATGCACGCTCCTGCAGTCGCCCGATGCGATTCCGCTCTGCTTCATGGCGCTAAAATGCCACGGTACACGCTTCTTTCTTGCCATCTTGTCGACGTGCGAAGGGCGTAGGTGCCAATACGACGTGCTACTCGAGCTTTGAGCGCGCGTACAGCTTGAAGCGGCTCGAAGTGGAAGCGACCGCGCTGCTCGCCAACATGACGTTGACCTACGCCAGTGGTCCCAAGGCGTCGTATGCGGCATATGCAGCGGCCACGACCAGCAGCCGCGGTGCCCACGTGCACTTGATAGCGACCAACTCGTCGCTGGGTGCGTCCTTGGCCGCGAGTCGTGCGCTCGTGTGCGCGCCGAGCCTGCGCTGCGCAACGTTCCAGAACCAAGCCGCGACGCTCGAGGCTGGGCTTTGCCACAGCACACTCGAGTTCCTCGCGCTCTGCAGCGCCCTCTTGTTTGCAGCAAGTGTGATTCACTTGGCGCAGGTCCTCGCCGCGATTTTGCTCCAGAAGCGCTTGCGGGGCACCGATTTCTACGAGACGGCTCGGCGAAAGCAGCGGGCTGCCGTAGCCATTGCGACGCGCGTGGATGATAATACGAGTAAGTAATATCACAGAGGACTACACGCATTACTGGTCGTCGTACAGTATACTACTTGTCCGTTTAGCGTGCCATGCGAGGATCGTTGATGTCCGTGTCTTCTTGTGAGAGCGCCGCCACTTGACGCCGCAGCTCTTCGATGAGCGCGTCCTAGTCCATGGATGCAAACCTGGCCTACCATGTCAGCCACCTGTACCTGCTCCTTGAGCTTGGCTTCGTTCTCGTGCAGCTGCTGGCGCAACTCGAGGACTTCCCGCGCCTTCTCGAGATGCACTTGGGGAAATGTCGTGCACAAGTAGTCATGCGCTTGCTCCACGGTCCAGCGCGTGCACGTGGGTGCGACGAGGTGTGAAATCAAAGCCGCAATTTCAGGGTACGTCGTCGCAAGCTCAGCCGGTACATGCGGAGGGTTTCCGCGCACGTCTACAAGAGCAAGTTCCATGCGTTGCATCGACGTGCAAGTCGTTCGCGTACTACCTTTGAGTGCGCGGGCGCGCTCCATCTTGGTGTCAAAGACGCAGAAAAGTTCGAGGAGAATGATGCCCAAGCTACTCGGCAAGCATTGAAACCTCGGTTTCGAGGATGGCATCGCGCATGTTTGTACCTGAACGAGTCGACTTTGTGATCATAGTCGGTGCCTGCGACTTGCTCTGGGCTTGCGTACGACATGGTGCCGACGCCTTGCGTGTGCCCATGTCCGCTGGCTGGCGGCATGAAGCCACAGTTGTTCATCGGGTCGTCGGCCATGACCTCGGCGAGGAGCTTTGAGAGACCAAAATCGCCAATCTTGAGCGCGCCGTCGCGGGTCATAAAGACATTGCTCGGTTTCAAGTCGCTACGCGTCGTCATGAGTCGTCGTCGTCACCATTTTGGTCAGGATTGTACCGGTGAATAATGCCATTCTCGTGGACGTGCTTAATGCCATTGACGAGCTGCCGAAAAAGGCGCAAGCTCGTTTGGAAGTCGACGCGGCCCACGTTGCGGTTGCGCTCGTCGAGCCAGTCCTACGCAGAGTAGACTTGAATTCGATGCAACTCGGGGATGACAACCCCACCTGAAGCGTCGACTGTTCGCAGAGGAACATTTGAATGTAAAGAGTGATTTGGTACGTGAACGCGGGGGTCATCTCGGTCGTTGGCGGCGCGTCGCCTTCGATCGCCAAGAACGAGCCTGCACGGTGGTTGCGGAATGGCGTCTCGGCGCACCACGACTGCTGTCGCTTGCGCTGGAGCTGGAGCGTTCGCGCGTCCACAGAGTTGACGCTGTTCCAGTCGCTCACGATGGTGTGTGTCGCTTGGTACGTGGCCAGCTGCATGCGTGAGGCATGGGTCGAGCTCTCAAACGACTTGGACCGCCGCCGGTGCACGGAGGATGACGTGACCGAAACGCTACCGCCACCGACCGACTTGGGATCGTACGCGGGGAGGTCGCTGAAACTTGTGCTACCATATATGTGGATTCGTACAAGAGCATGCAAATGTGGCGTTGTGCCTACCAGGAAAAGTTGGACTGGGACATGTCTCGATCAAACTCAAATTCGACGACCGAGCCGTTCGAGCTCTCGTACGAGTCTCTCGACATTGAGTACGAGCTGTAGTGGTCCTCGCTGAGCTCGAGGTTGGACGTCGTGTTGCCATCCAAGTCGCTGTCGCTTTTGGCGTCGACGAAGCGGTAGATGTCTTCGAGGAGGTGCGGGTTCTTGGTTTGCAGCTCGACGGGGTTGATGATGGGCGCGGACGTCGGCGGCGCTGCATACGACGTCGCGTGCAGGTTCATGGGGACCCACGTGGGTTCTAACCACGCGCTGTAGTAGCGGTTCACGTTTGGGTGGTCGCAGCGCGCGAGGCAGTGCACTTCTCGAAGCACGTTTTGCACGAGCGGTGACTGGAACCCTTTGTTGAAGAAGCGGACTTGCTTGATCGCGTAGCAAATGCCATCCTACGCCCCTTGCATGAGCCTCATCGGTGGAAACAAGAACAGAAACGTACGAGTTTGTGGCGCGCCATGTAGACTTGGCCAAACCCGCCTTGCCCAATGAGACGGACTTCGTCAAAGTCGCGCGCGTAGCGAGAGACGTTGAGCGACTGCGGGAAGCCCAGTATGCCACCATTGACGCCGCCCTTGTCCGCATCCCACTGCTCGATCGCATCCATCTTGCGCGGCGACGTGGTTGACGCTAGCAAGCCCAGGTCCGAGAGAAACGCAATCGACTCGAGCACGCCCATGCGATGGAGGCGCAGTACATTGGCGACAAAGGTCTTGGGCGTCGCGTCGTAGACCGAGCAGACGCGCGCGAGGAGCACGATGATGGTGACCTGCCGCTCGTCCAGCACGGGCATCTCGTCCGCCTTCTTCTCTTTTGGGCCGAACGGCTCGGGTGCATATGCAGACGGCGACGAGAAGTCGTCGGCTTCGAGCGTCGACGCGCTAGTATCGTGGCGCCGGGGGAGATGGAGGTGCTCCATGTCCTGCGCGAACGACGGGAGGTTGACCTCGATGGGACTTGACCCTGCACGCCCATGGTGCTCCTTTCCCATCGACATGGACGGCTCGAACGAGTTGCGGAAGACCGGCGACCGCCGCAGGTTCTCCATGTAGTCCATCGCCCCGCTTCTCTCTTGATATTTAGTCGGGATTGCGCCCGCGTGAGGTTGACTGTGAAAATGTATACTACTTGGATAGACGAATTCTAATTTCGTGGCCCCCGTATCCGGATCGCATCCCACGGTCCAAGGTCAAAGGCAGCGCCGGCACGGACGCAATTGCCGTGAGTGAGCGCACCTTGAATTGCCGTTCGCCCCGCGATCAGGCTGCACGGATACCATCGTGCTGTAGACAGATGGTCTGCGTACGTGGCAGTCGCAGCGACGCCGTAAGAAGGCGGAGGCCGCGTGCGGCCGAGCAGCTTCGAGACTTTTCTAGCGCATGCTGTCCGGCGACTCCGGAGAAATGTCGAGCCCGGCGACGGCAGCCCTAATGTTGAAGTCGACGTGCGTACCGTAGCAAAGCCTTTCATCTCATCGCGGCCGCTTAGCGTTGCTTCGACATGTCTTGGCACGGCGCAGGTGCATCAACCCTGCGCTGCGGCCGTCGCGTTCTTGCAGCATTACGCGTGCGCCCACCCGTGACTGGTCTTGCATTGCTCACGCGAGCAATTAGTCGCGGCGAGCTAGCCCCGACGAGCTCGCAATGCAGCGAAGTACCGATCGATCGCACGCTGGTATCTGCTCCTCTTCTGCATGAGGCAGATCGGGTTGAAGGCCAAAGTAGCTTTGCATTCGCGTGTCCATGCTTCTCTCCGCGACACGGCTGTGCAGAGGAGCTCAGAGTGTCGTGCGCGCCGACGTGAGTGGCTGGCGCGCGAGTCCCTACAGTGTACTACGTGGCACTCACGCCTTGTCTTTCAACTTGCGTAACGCTGCCGTAGCGCTTCTCCAAGCAAGTCCGTGGTCGATTGTATTTAAATACAGGCCGTGTCCACGTCCTTGTACTTGATGTTTGTATGCAATGGTGGGAATATTGCATGGGCCGCGACACCGTGGTGCATAAAAAAGATCGAACAAGCCCCTTCCATACAAAGCCCAAGTGGTTGGGCGCGTCAGCCCTAACCCGCCTTTCTTTTACCTACGCTCGGCCGTTGGTCCGTTTCTCGAGGGAATCTAGCGCATGCCAAGTCATTTATATGGCAATACGTTCGTAAGCCAAGGTGACTAACGAGGGGCTGGCGACAGCAATTGGCAACGCACGAAGAATGCAGGTCCCCATTGGGTTCGTATACGAAGGGAAAAGCGTGGAAACAAAGCTTGTTTTTCAATATCAAGGTTCTTCAAACGAGGGCATGCCCACGCTCGACCATCCCAAGAGGATTTCCATTTCCCAATTTCAGTCGTAGCCCTCAAGCTTCCTACTGTTCAAGATGGCTGACGATGATGTCCAAGCTCTCGTTGTCGACAACGGCTCCGGCATGTGCAAGGCCGGTTTCGCCGGTGATGACGCCCCGCGCGCCGTCTTCCCGTCGATCGTCGGTCGCCCGAAGCACCCCGGTATCATGGTCGGCATGGACCAGAAGGATGCCTATGTCGGTGACGAGGCCCAGTCGAAGCGTGGTGTCCTCACCTTGAAGTACCCGATTGAGCACGGTATCGTGACCAACTGGGACGACATGGAGAAGATCTGGCACCACACCTTCTACAACGAGCTCCGCGTCGCCCCGGAGGAGCACCCGGTCCTCCTCACGGAAGCGCCGTTGAACCCCAAGGCCAACCGTGAGCGCATGACGCAGATCATGTTCGAGACGTTCAACGTCCCGGCCATGTACGTCAACATCCAGGCCGTGCTCTCGCTGTACGCTTCGGGCCGCACGACGGGCTGCGTGCTCGACTCGGGTGATGGTGTCTCGCACACGGTCCCGATCTACGAAGGTTACGCCCTTCCCCACGCCATTGTCCGCCTCGACTTGGCTGGCCGCGACTTGACGGACTACATGATGAAGATCCTCACGGAACGTGGTTACTCGTTCACGACGACGGCCGAGCGCGAAATCGTGCGTGACATCAAGGAGAAGCTCACGTACATTGCCCTCGACTTCGACCAGGAGATGAAGACGGCCGCCGAGTCGTCGGGCCTCGAGAAGTCGTACGAGCTTCCCGATGGTAACGTCATTGTCATTGGCAACGAACGCTTCCGCACGCCCGAAGTGCTCTTCCAGCCTGCCCTCATCGGTAAGGAAGCCTCGGGCATCCACGACTGCACGTTCCAGACGATCATGAAGTGCGACGTCGATATCCGCAAGGACTTGTACTGCAACATTGTCCTCTCGGGCGGTACCACCATGTACCCGGGTATCTCGGAGCGCATGACCAAGGAGCTCACGGCCCTTGCGCCCTCGACCATGAAGATCAAGGTCGTCGCCCCCCCGGAGCGCAAGTACTCGGTCTGGATCGGTGGTTCGATTCTCTCGTCGCTCTCGACGTTCCAGCAGATGTGGATCTCGAAGGCCGAATACGACGAAAGTGGTCCCTCGATCGTCCACCGCAAGTGCTTCTAAGCGCTTTCTGTGGTCGTGCCCGCGCCAGCAGTTTTGTATTCCGATGAATGAAAGGTAGATGGGCTTCGAGGCTTCAGTGCTTCGGTCCTTTTTTTATTGATTGGAAGCGTACTCGATGGCAGTAGGAAGTATTAACCTTTTTTAAATCTAGTTATTGAACTCAATCCTTGTCTCGCCTCTCATGCACTAGCGGTACGTCGGAGTGATGGCCGCTAAGTACACCCACACGGCCAAGACAAAGTTGGGGTAGACGTGGACGTGCACTGCGAGGCCGAACTCGACGCCGCTCATGGTCGTCGCATGGATGTGTGTCTGCGTGATCTCGTCCACTATCGCCTGCACGTCGGTGAACGGAAAGCTGAACGGACCGCCGTGAAAGTCGTAGCGCGGGTACTTGGCGAGCAAGGCTGGCACGTGGTCGTCGTCACCAACGTCGCTGGCTATGTACTTGGCCTCCAAGGTTCGCAGCACCTCTTGCAGATGGAACGATACGTCGCTGTTGAAGACTGTCGTCGAGTGGCTGCTGCGGAGCTTGCGGATTGCAACCTTGATGCTCTCGAGGAGCTCAACTTGAACCTACGGATCTTTATGCAGATGCGACAACAGGAATGCGGACGTACATCGTGCACAAACGACGGCGGGGTCGCCAGATATTGCGGGTTCGCTGCTTGCACGGACGGCAAGATAGCCTCGAGCGCCTCTTTGGACGTCTGGGCCGTGAAGAAGGGCTTCCATGCACGCATGTCCGACTCTAGGAGGACGTCGTTGTCTCATGCACCACAATTATCTTGATGGTCGTACCGATCGTATCCCATGCCAGTTGGCAGGGCGCCATCGTCGGGCGCAGATTGGCCCAGACATTGTCACTGGATGCGACGAGAAGCACGGACCGTAGTGGGCACTTAGGGTCGCGCACGTCGTATGCGACGCCCGAGCACGCGTTCCAAAACGTGCAGTGCTGCGGCGTGCAACGTACAACGTACACGCCGCTGCCTTCGGGCAACGCTGTCCCCACGACCAAGTACGACTTGACATGGCCTCGTCGCTGCCCGTCGTCCGCCCAGTTGAAGTAGTTGGCAAGCAACACGGCGTGCTCTTCCCAGTCGCCGACCTGCGTGTCTAAAAAGTCTTGTGTCGCTGCCCACACGTCTACGCATCATCCCTCCATCAGGACCCAAGTACGTTCTGGGAGCGTACGTACCAATGGCGCCACTGTACGTGTGCCAGTCCTCCAGAAAGGGCACCAAGGACACAAAGCGCGCCAAGGCGCGTAGCGGCTGGCCCTGGAGGTCCGCGGGCGGTGCTTGCGCCCGCAGATACCGCGTGATAAACGTCGGCTCGCCCGAGACCGCCGGCACAAAAAGGTGCTGCAGCGTCAAGCCAGGTACGGACGCCACGTACTTTTCCGCGTACCGGATGAACGCTGGCGGTTCGCTGTGCACCGTGATGGGCGTCGATGCAGGCGTTGGTGCTGCCTACGACCCGTGTTGCATAGAAATGGCTTCGAGTCACCATCGACGCATACCAATATCGGATCGGTCTTGATCATGACGCTGAGAAACGTCGCGGCATCCGACGACGACGTCCCATTACTCTCGTCGTGGGCTCCTCGAAATCGCGAAGCTTTGCCAACGCGGCGCATGTAGCCAAGGTGAGCGTAGGGCACGACGCAACGCAGCGGTGCAACGATCTCGCCGGCGTTGTGATACAAGGTCGAGAACGGGACGCGGACGCTTCCAAGGAACCGCCGCTGCGGGTCCTTGCGCTGCGTTACGGGGTCCTACCACATACTGTAGTTTAGCCTGGCGTCTCTATGGCAACAACTACCTCGAGAAGCACTTGGTCAAAGATGGTCAACGTAATCGTGTCGCGAATCCGTGTGAGCGCTGGCGGCGACCAGTCGTGCAGCGGTGGCGAGAAGGGCACAACGACCGTCTCCATCCACATCGGATGCAGTCCCGACGATGGTGACGTGGCACGCGTGTGGCCTTGAAAGCTTACTTCCACAAGCACTTGATTGGCGCCCCCATCCACAGGGTGGTCGTCATCGTCGTCATCTTCGGCGCTGTTGTCGTCGTCCGAGCGGTGGTCGGGACGCCGCCGCGCAGGCTTTGGCGGTGCCTCCACCCGTTGACCCCGGCGTGCAAAGGCGTTGGTGAGGCGCTGGACTTGAATGTACACTTGGCACTCGTCGGGGCGGTCGACCGCTAAGTCGGAGCGGGGACCTTCAACCTTTCTTGTCGGGCGCAGTCGGCGCTTGCGGGCAAAGAGCGTACTCCAGCCGGAAAAGTCGGGCGTCCAGCCTTTAAAGAGCAGCGGTTGTGGGTACTCTTGCACGATCGTGCTCAAGTGGCCGTACGCGGAGACCTTGTCGTCCCGGGCCCGCGTCGCATGGTTGCTTCGGACGCGCTCCATGAAATCGTGGCGGCGAAGCTCGAGACGCCGCTTGGTATACTCAAGTCCATCTCTACACAACCATGTTCCATCATAGCACAGCGCGAAAAGTACAGACCTGGTTTCGGCAAGCATGGCTTCGTTGGCCAATGACCGCTCGAACGCAACGACCTCGGGGCGTACGAGATCCAAGTACGCGGGCTGCTGGGCGATCGTGTGCTCCGAGAGCGGGATCGGTGTCGCAAAAATGGCGTGTCGGTGCGGGTCGTCGTCCCGTAGCGTCAGAAGCGTATGGCGCTTGAGCTGGCTCTTCCCCGTGTACGACGACAACACAAACGACGATGGCAACTCGGTGCGAAAGAGGTCCAGCGTCTGTGTTGTCGACCGGCCCGTGTGGTACGCCATCAGCTGAACGGCTGCTTGGTCCGAAGGCGCGTTCGGGTCGAGCGTTGGCAGCGTCCCCAGTGCGTGTTGGAAGGCCGCTTCGTGGCTAAAGTGCGTGGCATCGTCGACCGGTTCGGGGCGATGCCCGATCCAGCGCCCGGCGTCTGCGCCATCGTCATCAGCCCGATCTCTCGACGTATTCTTATTGACGTACCCGACGCGAGGCGAATCGACCGCGCGTGCTTGACGGGAATCTTGTGCACATCCGACGTTGTCTTCCAGCTCAAGTGGACGTGCACGGCGCCTTTCGTATGTCGCTGGGCGTTGGCATAGTACGCCGACGAGAGAAAGCTATGGCTCCACGCCTCGCGCGGAATGACTGCGTCGTGGCAGAATTGATACCACTCGTCCGTGGGCGCGGCGCCGGCCGCACAAATCTCGGTCGCAAACGCGTGTCCTAACAACATATATGTATCGTTCGTGTTGACGTAGGGGCTACCGGGCATGACGAGCGGAATGGGCCGGCTCGTCCAGCAGGTTGTGGTGTAAAAGATACCGCCGGTGGCCGGCACGCGCTCGTATACCTTGAGGCTCATGGAATTTGGCTTGGCCGTGACGCGGAGTGCGACATATTCGTTCAAATCCACGCTCAAGCTAGGCCACGAGAGTGAGTGCGCCTTGGTCTCCATGACAGTGTTGCCATTGACGAGCAGTTCGCAGTGGACGCGGACGCGCCGGATGTGCTGGCGTCGCAGCGCCTCGGCTTCGGACGGCTGTCCCAGAATCGAGAGGTCGCTCGAGAGTCGCACCACATAGTTCAAGCACATTGGTGCGTCCAGGATTCCCTGCAGCGCACACACCGCTGTTGCAAGCTGCGGATCCTCGCGCATATGTTCGTGGCACTCGAGGCGCGTCGCAAAATCCTGGATCATCGTCTGCGTCGCACTACTGTCGACAGGTCGAAGCAGCAAGAGCACGGGTGTAAGCGTCGCCTGCTGCTTCTGTCGCAACTCCTTGAGCTCGCTCCATTTGGCATAGACCTCTTGGAAGGCGTCCCGTACCGAGGTTAAAATGGCCATGAATGCATCCGCTTCCGCGTGCACATCATGGATCGACGCGGTGGGTGCCAAGGACAAAAGCCGCGCAAGTCTGTGCTCCAAGCTTGTCATCGCAGCGTACTTGGCCGTGTAATCGTGGAAGAGGAAGCGCATCTGAAGGCTCACGCTGTCTTCGAGCGTCATGAGCCGGTGGTCCGAGAGATGGAGCTTCGGGATGCGAACGAGAAGCTCCGAGTAGACGGGCAACACCTTCGCGGGGTCACTCCAGTGTGTGCGAAGGGGCGTCGGAGGCGCATACGTGAGGGACGGGCGCACCGCGCTGGCCGCGAACGGGTCGGCCATCGAGGACCATGTATCGCCCTCGCGCTCGACGCGCTCCACCGCGCGGGCCAAGACGTGGGGCGGAAGATGCGTGTCCATGGTGCGCGCTCGATAGATACCATCGTCCATGTCCTCGTCAACCTTGCAGGTCTGCGTCGGTGGCCTCGCGCTTGGCACCACGATAACCTTTGGGTCCATGCGTGTCTCGATTCGCACGCGATGTCCGTGGTCCGTGAGCGCCGGTAGCGCCGTGCGCTGGTTCCCATCATCATCACCGTCGCTATCTTCATCGCTCATCTCGGGCGCATCCTGCTGGAAGCGCGAGACCTTGGGCGCCTGGGCTGGCGCTTTGTCGGGCGTCGCGGTCATTGCGCGTTACGCGTCCTCTTGGGTAACGGCGCGATCCACGGACTAGTGCTTGCTCTACATCTACCTCGCGCCCATGACCCATCATGCTTCTTCCCTGCTTCGTCCATGGTATGCGACTCTACTCGGTAGACTCCATCGTCCTCTTCCCTCCGCTCGGCAGTTCCTGGATCTTTTGCTGCGTTGATCGAGCATCGTTGGGATTGGTCCGAATCCATGCTCCCGTGTGGGGATTGGCTGAAAAGGCCCGCGAAAGCACACATTTGGCCAATCCGAGGCCTCTATTCTTATTTTTCTCGGCCGGGCGCTTCATTGGAGCTTTTTGCCGCCAAGTAAAACAGAGGTGGGCAAGCGGCCGCGCCCGACGTCGACCTCATGCACCCTCTGTAGGAAGCGAGAAGCATGCAGTGGGAGAACAACGACGGCGGCTATATGGAAGGGGGCTACATGGAGTCCCAAGCGGCGACGTCGTCGCAGAAGCAAGGCAACACGTCGCGCGACAACCAGTCGCTGACGCCCGTGACCGTGCGCCAGGTGCTCGCGGCGCTCCAGGCCGAGAGCGGCGACGACGCCGTGCATGTCGACGGCAAGGAGGTCCACAACATCCGCATGGTTGGCATTTTGACCGACATGAGCCCGAACTCGACCAACATCACGTTCACGCTCAACGACGGCACGGGCCTCCTCGCGTCGCGCCTCTTCCTGCAGATCGACGACGACCACTACCAGCAGCAGCTCGTCGAGTCGCTTCGCGAAGGCATCTACATCTCGGCGGTCGGCAATTTGCGCACCTTCAACGGCAAGACGAGCTTCACGTGCTACACTGTGAGCCCGGTCGAGGACTTCAACGAGATCACGCACCACTTTCTCGACTGCATTTACACCCACTTGCGCAACCTCCACGTTCGAAGAAGCCTTCGCTGGATTCTTCATATGCTGATTTGTGTTGTATTAGGGTGTCATTGGCGGCGCGCCGCCTGCCGCGAAGCAAGACCCGGGCTTTGGCAGTCCCACGGCTGGGTACAATTCGTTTGGGGCCAGCACCTCGGGCGGCTACGGGCAGCAAAGTGCATACCAGAACTTTGCGGCTACCGACTCGGGCTTCTCGGACCCTGGTCAGCAAGCGATCCTCGACATCTTGGGCGCGACCGCGCTCGAGATGGGTCTCTCGGTCGACCAAATCAAGCAGCAGCTCAACGGCCGTCTCAGCGAGGCGCAGCTGAGGTACGCTCATCATAGTTGCCTGAAAGAATGCACTCCATAACGTGCTGTGTAGAGAGGCGCTCGGGTACCTGACGAACGAGGGTCATATTTACTCGACAATCGACGAAAACCACTTCAAGCGGACGGCCTAAGCGATGCACGTGCCAACACTGGTCTGTATGTCTCTGCATAATGCTACTACAAGCTTCTGTATACCGTACTTTGTCGCGTGCATGGCATCGCATGTCTACGCTTTCTGGGCGGCGCGTGACTTTGGTGGTACTCACAGATAACCCCGGAGCAACGCCACAGAGCTCGAGCGACATGGCGCCAAGTCGCGAAGAGTAGGTAGGACACATCGGTTGTTATACATCGGTTGTATTAGGCAGTTTCAACCGATAGTAAAGGCCTGGAGGGAACCGACGCGAAGGCTTTATCGCGCGCGTCCACACCACTTCTTGTGCATGTGGATCCGCCTCGTTTGAAACTCGATCTGGAATGGATCACAATTGGATGCGCAGTGTAGAAAGCGTGACTTGACCTCACGAAGTCGCTGCCCAAAAGATTTTGTCGCCATGCCCTACCCAGCCGGACCTTCTTGATGTTCGCGCGCGTCCACACCACTTCTTGTGCATGTGGATCCGGCTCGTTTGGAACTCGATCCGGAATGGATGTTTTCATTGGCTCCATCCTCGATTCTTTTTAGCCAATCACAAGACTTGGTCCACGACCTCGTTAAATAGTGTGAGCATCATTCAGCACAACGACGAGTAGCAGCCCACAGACGCACCAGCGCCACGTAGCAGCCGGGTATACCTCTCCACACACTTCTTGAATGACATAAATGTCGTTTCCGACGCTGCACGTAGCGCAATCACGCGCAAATCCATTTTCCATTTTTCGAGGTGGTAGCAGAATTGCCCAAATACTTCACGTGACATCGCGGGGTTCCAAAGCTCCAAGGACCGTAAGACTGGCTGCCACAGTTGGCAATGGGTCTCGACCCGGTGTGCGACCAGCTTGTTGGTCACCGTCGCGCCTTGGGCACTCACACCAAACTCGAACTGCCGAGCGTCGGTTTTTAGGAAATTCGACATCCCATTCCGGTTGGAAATGCGTCGAAATCGCGGAAACCGTGGACGCCGTCTCTATTTGTTCATGTTAGAGAACGTGTTGCATGTAGTCGAGGGAGGCAAAGTGCGCGCGATACCGCTGCGCGATGAGGCTTTGTATCCCTTACAGTATTTCAGTATAGCAAAGAAGCACACTATATCAACAAATTGTTTGCCGCTGTCATTTGCTCTCGCTACAGAGCTCGCGCGACGACGTCGCATAGCATTTTGGACTCCCCAAAGTGTGGTCTAGCACTCTGGCAAGTACGGGCGATTTCATTTTCATACTTCATTCTGGTCGATCCGCCGGCGCGGCGGGCCTGTGTGCACCAAAATATGGTAATTATGGTTGTAAATGGCGGACGCCAATAGTAACGACGGCGACGCCAGACAGACGACGCCGAGGCTCCTAGGCCACCACTGGCGCTGCTGCATTGTGCTCGAGGAGACTCCATCAGCACTCTCTACGCCATCATAAAGTGTCGCTCGGTCGCAATGCAGCGTTCCTCGTCGGCCTCCCTCATTTTCGTCAACGCCAGGCCAAAGCGTTCCAGCCAATCAGAGCGCCAAGGCGTTAGATTTGTGGCCAATCAGAGCGCCAAGACTTTCTGTATCGAGCCAATCGCCTGTGTTCGAGCCGCTGTTCTCCAACCGATCATCGCCATCAGGCCAGGCACGTAATACGTGGCAAGCCGTGCGCAGGCCTCAGGCCGAGGCGCTCACGCGACGTCGCTGTAGGTATGGCGCAGCCTATCGATGTGTGACGAGCCACCGAGTCAGCCTTTGGGCGGAGCCCTGGCCAATTATTCGACAGCCTCTCTCGCACGTCGGCTACGGGATCGCCTCCGAGATGCGCTCCTCCAAGCTCCCAAGTCCTGCGACGACGCTGCGATATGCCTAGCATGATGGCCGCCGCGACGTCATGCGCTTGCGCGTCCAGAACGGTTCGCGCTACGGCCACATCCGATCCGACGGCGCGTCCACGCTCCGGTCGCTGCCGCCACACTCTACATGTACGCACATACCGACAACGCTCGAGTCGTGTCTCAGCATCGAGCCTGCGTGCGGCTGCTCGCGCTCGCCGTCGTGCGCTGCACTCCTTTTCAACGCCATATCTACTTCTTCGTCCTTGGTGGCCGACAGCTTGCGGCCAACGTCGACACGCCCTGCTGACGGCGGCAAGATACACGCAATCCAAATCCCCGAGCCAGACGGAGATGCTACTCCAACACCTACGTAGGTAGAAACCCACGTCCTTCTTACACTACTGTAGCGCGGTTCTCAACTACCCTTCTAGCCTGGTCACTCCCATGGCGCCGGCTACGATGGCAGTCGTTGATGGCGTCGATCGCCACGCTATCTACCTGATGCGCCGGTGGCTCATGACGTTTTTACGCTTTTCCCCGACCACGAAACCAGAGGTTTGGAGCCTTTAAATTGCGTTCGCACGCAACCACTGCCAAAATAGGCTCTTGGCTAGCAGAACCCGTCGCTTCTTGGTCAATTCGAGTTGCTGCTCCACAAAAAAGACACAAAGGAAGGAGCAGCGGGTCCGCGCCGCAGCGCTCAAGCGCACAGAAGCCGGACTCAAAGACCTTGCGGGCCACATCTACACGGATGTCGACATATCTACGATTAAGCTTCTTTCCAAGAGCCAAAACGTTTCGAAGTTTCCGACATTGGCACTTCCACCTTTGCTCGGGCGACCCTAACACACATGTATGCAACGACGAGAGTCTGAACGGCGACGAGAGGCGGGCCGTTTGTGATCGCGTTCAGCACGCCGTGGGCGAGCCTGTCGGACAAGACGTCGCGGCGCGCTGCAAGGCAAGTGCGCGATCCCGGGTCAGGTCGGATAGCGGTTTGCGCAGCGCCTTGCGGTACTGGACGAATGTACTGGCACGATTGTGGACGCTGGGCCGGTTGTCGATTTGCCCGCAAGGTTCATGCTCAACGAAAAGCAGGTCGCGTGGCTCTACCTCTTGGAGGAGTGGGTCATCGAGCGGCACGTCATGCGCGTCAGTGGTTCACATTAGCTATTGCGTCTCCCGGCAATATGGCCACTTGAGGACTCCATGCGTGCATCATGAAAACAACTTCGTAACAAAAGCAATTGATAATTCAAAAGCACTCCATAGTGTGTTTCTACCAGCCCCCTCCACCGGAACCTTGTGATCAACCCACTTGGGACGGTGCAATCTATTGCAGATAAACGAAGAGCCTCTAATGCCACCGATACAGACAGCAACCCAGGCAACAACTATTACTACGTAGTACACAACAACGTTTCCCTTGGCTGCTGGTTGCGTTCAACCAAGCTATCTGTCAACACCAAAGCGCAATGTATTCATTTTGCCCATTTCAATCCGACTTTAAACATGAACAAAATCATTAGTGCATTAGTCAAAACCTCACAACGATTACGCCGAGAGTTCGTGGCCGCTGCGGAGGTGCGCCTCAATCTTCTGCGGGCCCTTGGACGGGTACACGCAGCCCCGCGCATCAGTCTTGAGCTTCTGGCACGTCGCGGTCTCAGGCGCCTGGCACCAGCCGTGCTGCGACGAGTACAGACCGGTCTTGCATTCGCCGGAGGCCCAGTCGCCCTTCTTGGGGCTTCTAGCACCGCCGCTGTTGCCCGAGCACACCGGGCCGTTGACGCAGTACGTGGCATCGCCTTCGACCGAGACGTTGGTGCAGCCCTG